TATTTACCCAATGAAATACATTGTTTGATTTCTTGGCTGCTGCTTCTAGAGGCTTTGATTGTGGATCCAAGGAAAATGAAATATTTGACAACTTCAGTCTTTTCTCCATTTAATGTGATGTTGCTTACTGGTCTAGTTGTGAGGATTTTTGTTCTCTTTATGTTGAGGTGTAATCCATACTGAAGGCTGTAGCTTTGATCTTCATCAGTAAGTGCTTCCGTCCTTTTCACGTTCAGCAAGCAAGGTTGTGTCATCTGCACATCACAGCTTGTTAATGGGTCATCCTTCAATCCTGATGCTGTGTTCTTCAATTCAGCTTCTTGGATTATTTGCTCAGCATACAGATTGAATAAGTATGGTGAAAGGGTACCACCCTGACACACATCTTTCCTGGATTTGAACCACACAATATCCCCTTGTTCTGTTTGAATGACTGCTTATTGGTCACAAGCATATATTAATTTAACAATTTCTACATATATAATTCAGTGACCTTATTACATTCAAGTTGTGCAACCATTCTCACTAACCTTTTCCAAATAATTCCATTACCATTAACATATACTCACTGCTTTCTAAGTAAAAATTTCCCCTTTTCTCCCTCCCTCTCACCCTTAACCACTAATCATCATCTTTGATTTCTGTGTGTTTGCATATTTTATATAAGTGAGACCATACCATATTGTTCTTTTGTGATTGACTTATTTTGCTTACCATGTTTTTCAGATTCATCCATGTTGTGGCATGCATTAGAACTTTATTTATCTTTGTGACTGAATAGTATTCCATTGTATGAATGAACCACCTTTTGTTTGCCCATTCATCTGTTGATGGAAATTTCAGTTCTCCAAATTTTAGAATTTTAAGATAACAAATAGTTAACTAGCTAGCTAGCTGGCTAAATGGATGGATACATGAAAGATAGAAGGAAAGACAGAGAAAGGAGGGAAGGAAAGAGGGAGGAAAGAAGAGAGGAAGGAAGAAAGGCTGTTAGGAAGTGACATTGGCCTTGGTACCTGCCTTAGTTTCTTGTTGTTGTTAGGTGCCATCAAGTTAGCTTCAACTTATAGCCACCCTATGTACAACAGAATGAAACACTGCCCAGTTCTGTGCAGCACACAATTCCTGCCATGCCTGAGACCATCGGTGCAGCCACTGTGTCAATCCATCTTGTTGAAGGCCTTCCCCTTCTTCACTGACTCTCCACTTTACCAAGCATGACAACCTTCTCCAGGGAATGGTCCCTTCTGACAACATGACCAAAATAGGTGAGATGAAGTCTGGCCATTCTCACTTCCAAGGAGCATTCTAGCTGCACCTCCTCCAGGACAGCTCTGTTAGTTCTTTTAGCAGTCCATGGTACTCTTAGCATTCTTCTCCAGCACCACAACTCAAAAGAATCAACTCTTCTTCTGTCTTCCTTATTCATTGTCCAGCTTTCCCATGCATATGAGGTGATTGGAAATACTATGGCTTGGGTTAGGTACACCTTAGTCTTCAAAGAGACATCTTTGCTCTTCAGCATTTTAAAAAGATCTTTTGCAACAGATTTGCCCAGTGCAATATGATGTCTGACTTCTTAACTGCTGCTTCCATTGGTGTTGATTATGGATCCAAGTAATATGAAATCTTTGATGACTCCAGTCTTTTCCCCATTTATTGTGATGCTGCCTTAGGTTCTTAGTGCTACTATAACAGAAATACTACAAGTGAGTGGCTTTAATAAGCAGAAATTTATTTTCCCACAGGTTAGGAGGCTAGAGGTCCTAATTCAGGCCACCAGCTCTAGGGGAAGACTCTCTCTGTCTGCTCTGGGGGAAAGTCCTTGACTTTTTAGCTTCTCTCCCTTAATTCCTTGGCGATCTCTACTGACATGTCTTCCTCCATTTCTGCCTAGATTCCATGCTTAACCTGCTCTTTTTATATCTCAGAAGCGACTGGCTTAAAACAGACCCTGCACTGATTTGGTCTCATTAACATAACAAAGAAAACCCCATTCCCAAATGGGATTACACCCACAGATACAGGAATTAAGATTTACAAAACCTATTTTTTTGGGGGACACAATTTAATCCATAACAGTCCCCAAGAGAAAGATGGAAGGAAAGACAGAGGAAGGAGGAAAGGAAAGAGGGAAGAGCTGTGAAATCCCACAGCTGTATTGTGTGAACTTGAGAGCTGTTTCACAGTAAAATGCTGAAGCAAAGTGTAGGGCTGCAGCCAGTACAGGGATTTGGGACTCAATTCTGGGTTGTTCTGTGTTTCTAACACCTTGGAAAGAAATCCAGTTTGCACAGGAAGCTGGGCACCCGCTGCCTTCTGTGCCCAGGCACCCGAATCTGGAGCCACATGCTAAGCCAGGAAGGAAGAGACACGTTGGAGGGTTTGAGGGGCATGTTTCCTTTCAAGGGCTGGGAGGAGTCAACCAGAACTGCCGGGGGTGGGGCCTCTCTGAGCCTAGTGACCTGCAGCCATGGCTCAAGGAGGGAATGGTGGCTGGAAGGGCCCCCAGGAGCCCAGAAAATTGGGGTCCAAACCACCCCCCAGCCCATGGGAAGCTGGTGAGTCAAGAATCAGGGACCAGGAGCCCTTTTCCATACCAAAAAAGAGCTGGGTGCTGGGGTTACTTCTACACTCCAACCATAGGTAGGAGGAAAAGAAATCTTGGGGTTCTTCTGTCCCCAGCTTCCTCCTCACCTACCATTTCTCATCTGCATAACTCCTCATTCCAGAAGGCTTTGTGTCTTAGTCTCCTATTGTTGTAATAGAAATGCCACATGTATGTAAGAATATAAATTTGTATTCTCACATTTCTGGAGGCTAGAAGTCCGAGTTCAGAGAATGGTTCTAGGAGGAGGTCCTTCCTTGTCTATTTCAGCTTCTGTTGGTTTTTCCCACCTTTGAGTCGATTCCCACTCATGGTGTCCCCATGTTACAGAGTAAAACTGCTCCATAGGGTTTTCTTAGATGTAATCTGTATGAAGCAGGTCACCAGGCCTCCTTTCTGCAGAGCCGCTGGGTGGGTTCCAACTGGCAACCTTTTGGTTACCAGACAAACTCAAACCATATGCACCACCCAGGAATCTTCATCTTCTAGTAGCTGCTGGCAATTCTTAGAGTTCCTGGGCTTGTAGATGCATGTTCTTCTGTGTCATCTTCAGATAGCATCTGTTCTCAAATAATTTCTTGTAGAAAGATCAGCACAAAGCAGAGGAAAATGATGTCCCAAATGTCTAACTTTTCCAAACTGCTATACCACTCCATCATCTCTAACATCAACTCCTCCTCCTTCCCTCAGTCCTCTCCCTCCTGTCTCAGAGTTCTGTATTTTGCTGTAACATCTCTCAGAACTTACTAACTGCCAAGGAAATGGCTCACATAGTAGTGGAGGCTGGGAGGCTGGCAAGTCCCAAATCCATGGGTCAGGTATCAGTCTGGAAGATTCTCCTCACTCACATGGTTGCAGGGGCTGGTGAAGCCAAATTGACAGGTCAGATGACAGGCTGCTTCTTGGGATCCAGGAACCGGGGGTGAGATGATGATGAGCTGGATGCAGGGTCCAGAGCAAGAGAGTGAACCTCGCCAGAGCATTCGCATATATACCCTCAAGGAAACTCAGGGTGGTGACTTGAGTCATACCCTCCAGCAAGGTGGGACTCAAGATACACCCCACCCTGATCCTGCCTCATCCATGCAACAGAAAACTCACCCTAAAATGGGACCATAACCACAAGCATAGAGGTTAGGGTTTATAATACATCACAAATGGAGGACTATGGCACTGTCATTAGGAGCTCTGGTAGTATAGTGCCTAAGGCATATGACAGCTAACCAGAAGGCTGGTGGTTCAAACTCACCAGCCACTCCTCAGAAGGAAAGTTGGGCAATCTACTTCCGTAGTGATACTGCCTCAGAAACTCAAGGAGGGCTAGCTATGAGTTGGGTCCGACTTGAGGCCACATAACACAACAATGGCTGAAAGGGCCACATTAAGCAATTCACTGCACTGCAATCTATCATCCCCCAGTGTCTGCTTGCTTGTCTCTGCATCTAACCTGTTCTTTGTATTATCTCAAAAGTGATCAGGTGGTGCAACAGTTCAGCACTTGGTTGCTAACCAAAAGGCTGGCAGTTCAAACCCATCCAATGGCTCCATGGGGGAGAAGACCCAGAGATCTGCTTCCACCAAGCTTACAGCCAAGAAGACCCTGTGGGGCAGTGCTGCTCTGTCACCTGGGGTCGCCCATGAGTCAGAATCAACTGGAAGACACTCAACCACAATAACACTAATATGGCATCATTAACACAACAAAGAAAACCCTATTCTCAAACAGAATCACATCCACAGCTACTGGGGTGTGTATGTTAGGATTCTAACACGTTTTGTTGTTGTTGTTGTTATTTGCCGTCGAGTTGGCCCCGACTCACAGCGACCCCTCCTTGAGTTTCCAAGGCAGTATCACTACGGAAGTAGGATTGCCCAACCTTCCTTCCGAGGTTGTTGTTGTTGTTGTTATTTGCCATCGAGTCGGCCCCAACTCACAGCGACCCCACCTTGGGTTTCCGAGGCAGTATCACTACGGAAGCAGGAATGCCCAACCTTCCTTCCGAGGAGTGGCTGGTGGGTTTGAACCGCCAGCCTTCTGGTTAGCAGTCAAGTGCCTTAGGCACTATGCTACCAGAGCTCCTTAAATTATATTTCAATAAAACACATTAAAAAAAATACGCATGTCCTCCTTCTGAGGAGGAGGATATAATTCAATCCATGACACTTTGCTTCTTCTTCCAGACTTTTTTGAGTCATTAACATCAGGTAATTCCATTGTGGAAGCCAGAATACCACAGAGGGGTGCTGGTGGTCACCCCAGTTGGTCTGAAAATAGACTTGGGCACAGCAGGGGGAGAATGTGTGTCCCTGGGGAGAGAAAGGCTGACTTGGCTTCCCCCCAGGACAACTGGGACAGAAGCCCCAGGACAAGACCTGGAAGTGTGTCTGCCTGATGGTGTCTGTGACCCTGCTTCTCATGGTCATTACCCTCAGTGTGGTTCTGCACAAAGGTAAGGATGCTGTGCTAGGGGAGGGGAGCTAATGAGTCCAGGGAGCAGGCACACCAGGCCTCAACCTGTAAAGTTGGGACCGCAGGGCTGGGGCAGGAGTGGAGTCCCTGGGGATGGTGTGTGTCCCTGGGGATGCTGATGGTGGCAGACAGGAGCTGATATCTGAGTTGGTCTGAGTCATTGGTGATGTCTCCCCAAAGCCCAGCCCTGGGCTGGGGCCATGACAATCAACAGTATAGCGAGCTGATGTTACAAGCCAATTGAAAAACACAAAAAAATCAAACCCATTGCTGTTGAATCGATTCTGATTCATAGCAACCCGAGATGGCAGAGTAGAACTGCCCTATAGGGTTTCCAAGGTTGTAATCTTTCCAGAAGCAGACTGCTACATCTTTCTCCCACAGAGTGGCTGGAAGGTTCAAACCACTGACTTTTCAGTATGTAGCAGAGCACTTAACCACCACGTCACCAGGGCTCCTTTTACAGGCAGAGAGACTCCATTAAAATTCTGCTCAGTAGCTGGTTGCTGGTGGTTGAGTGGTGGGATTCTTACCTTCCATGCTGAAGGGTTACCTGGCCAGCACAACTCAGGCACAGCCACTGCCTGTCCGTCCATCAATGTTGCTGTGAGCCTGGACAGGTCTCAGCAGAGCTTCCAGAGTAAGACTAGGGAGGAAGGCCTGGTGATCTACTTCTGAAAATCAGCCAATGAGAGCCCTATGGGGCCCAGTGGTCTGATCTGTAGCCAATCATGTGGATGCTGCAGGACCAGGCAGCATTTCATTCCATTGTGCGTGGGGTCCCCATGAGTTTCAGGCCAAGTTGATGGCGGCTAACAGGTGATTGTCTTGGGCCTCAGTTTTCCCCATCTACAAAAATAGTGGGGTGTTTCAGAGGCCCCATTGCCTTGCTCTGGGACTGGGAGAAAGCCTGGCCCCTCGAAGTTTGGGGAGCAGGAAGAAACCCCAGCAGAAATTCTGGGGGACTCTGGCACACACTGATATGCCTCTTCCCAGTCTTTCAGGTGACACAGGGGCTACAGGAGGAAGTTGTTCAACTCGGGGACAAAGGTGAGTGGGGTCAGAGGGTGCACTCCTCCCTTAGCCACACCCCCTTCCTCCTGCTAAGACCTTGACTAGCTGCTCTTCTGTGACTCTCATAGTGATACAGGGATTGGGAGACGCCAAACATGACCGGGACTTCATCAGGGGCGAGATGTTCCGGCAAATGGAGAGGGTGCAGGAAGGCAAGGGTGAGAGGGTGGGAAACAGGGAGGTAGAGAAGAGGACATAGGGGAGGAAGGTGGGACAGGGGAGGGGAGGGAGGTGGAGCAGGGGAGGGGAGGGCAGCTAGTGAGAGAGGAAAACATGGGGCAGGGAATGAGGGGAGGTGAGTATGGGGAAGGTAAGTGTGCTTGACTGCTAACCAAATGGTTGGTGAGTCCATCCATCCTTCCGAGGCATCTTGGAACAAAGGCCTGGTGACCCAAAAAAAACAGGTATGAAAGCCCCTATGGAGCACAGTTCTAATCTGATACACTTGGGACTGCCTTGAATGAAATAACCTTAATGGCAACTATTATTATATTTTTTAAGAGAAACCAAACATAGCCTCCCATTTTACATAAAAAGTTGCTTATTATTCATATTATTTTTTGAGCCATTTTTTTCCCCACTTAATAAGATATCTGTATCATTGTGCTATGTCCTGATATGGTATAGTGATGAAAGTTCCAACCTAGCAGGAGTGAGTTTCCCATTGTTGGGTGTATTCAAGCAAAGACCATCAGGAATATGGTTGGTGGGTGGTGGGTGAGGAGCCTCTCTGTGTATGGAAGGCTGGGTCCACTGCCGACGTTGCTGATGACTCCATCCTCACAGCATCCTCCTGCCTACCCTGCCATGTGGACTGGAAGGCCTTTCAGGGCTCCTGCTACTACTTCTCTGTGAACAACCTCACCTGGTCCCAGGCCAATGATTCTTGTGCCCAGGAGAGAGCACACCTGGTTATCATTAACAGCCAAGCAGAACAGGTGGGGAAGTGAAGACAAAACCTTGAGGTTATTCTGCAATAATTTTGGGGTTCATGTCACTGTCCCCTTTGGGTTCTAGCACAGTACACCTAGTACACTCTTCAAGATCTGCCTCATCTTGCCTGAACTCAACCTCACTGCTCTGATATGCCGAAAATGACCCCTGCACACTGTGGTCCTGCCTCTAAGCTCTTATTCACATGGGCCCTTCTGCTTGGACTGTCCTTCCCTTAGCTAGATGCATGGAGAACTTCTATGCACACATGAAAACCCTAACAAAAAACGCCCCTTCCTCTCATAGTACCATAACATCATCAGAGACCTCCACCATAGCACTCATGCTATATTGGAGCTACCTTATCATGAGTCTGGGGCTTGGCCTGCATCGTCTCTGAGTTCCCTGGATCTAGACCAAGGCTTGACACCAATTAGGCCCTCAATAGTGTTAGCTGCAGACCAAACTCTTTCCTGACATACACTGAACTGTCCTTTAAGAATGCTTACAGCCAGTTTCTGTCCAGTTTTTTTTTTTTTTTTTCTGGGTGTCAGGCATCCTACACCATTGACTTTTTCCATCTTGAAAATGCTAGGAAGTGTGGACCCTATTACTTCTTTAGATGGGGAAACCGAGGGTGCATAACTTGTCTGTAGTCACAGAGCATGCATGATACTGTGGATCTGGGATTCACAGCTAGGATGCAAACATTTGTCTGTCTCTCCACCCAAGGCTGCCTCCATGCCTAGTCCTCCTCTAGCCCCCCGGACAATCCCACCCTCAACCTTGCAGCTTTGGTGGAGTCTTGTCACACAAATGTGCCTTTTCCCCATCCAGAACTTCCTGACACTGACAGAGCACATAGCATACTGGATAGGTCTCTCCAAAGAAGACCTGGGAGGTGCCCACAGGTGGGCTGATGGCTCAGCACCCACATACACGTGAGTCTTCCCATCTGGGTTGCAAGGACCCCTGTACACCTAAGACAATCTCCCCTTGGGAGGCTGGCAGGACTTTAGAAAAGCAAGTTTATGAATAGTCTAGATGCTCCTTTGTCATCCATTCATAATTATTTACCTTTTAGCGCTGCTACTGTCCCCTTATTGGTATTTTGTTATTGAAAAAAATGTTCCCACCTTAAATGCACGAGAAACAATGAGTGGAATGTCAAACTGGTTTCTTTGTTGCAGGACTTCTCAGAGCCTTGAATATGCTAATGAGCACTGGGTCTGTATAGCATACAATGTAGCACTTGTCAATTATATGAAATGTCCTGTGGCAAATTACCAAAAACTGGGTGGCTGAAAATAGCAGGCATTCATTCTCTCACAGTTCTGGAGTCCAGAAGTTAAAAATCAAGGTGTCATCAGGGTCACACTCCCCTTGGGGCTCTCGGGGGAAGATCCTTCCTGGTCTCTTCCAGCTTCTGGTGGCTCCAGGCATTAATGGGTGGGTGGCTGCCTCACTCCAATCTATGCATCTGTCTTCACATGACCTTCTCCTCTGTGTCTGTGTCCTCTCCTCTTCTCATAAGGACATTGTCATTGGTTTTGGGAGCTACCCACTTAATCCAGGATGAGCTCATCTTGAGATCCTTCTCTTAATTACATCTACCAAGACTCTTTCTAAATAAAGTCACCTTCACAGGTACCGGAGGTTAGTTTGCAGATATATCCTTTTGGGAGGCCACCATGCAACCTCATGACACCTTTTTAGGTAACTACCTGCATTCTCACACTGTGTGCCTTTGCTCAGGTGGTTTTCTCTGTCTTCATCATCTTTCGCTGCCTGGCAAACTGCTCTGTGTGGGTCCAGACTAGGGCAGAAGTAGCCCTGTCGTAAACTCCTCCAAAGTCTGAGCATCTGCTGTATACAGACCTTACATGCACTGTACTTCTCTTCATCCCATCTTGCAAAAAAAAAAAAAATGAAATGGAGGCTCAAAGGCATTGAAGCATTTACCCCAGGTCCCACAGGTACATGTAGCAGAGCTAGAATTTGAGTGGGAACTGTCTGGCCCTAGGATGAATAGACCTCAGAGAAGGAGAGGGGATCAGGGACTTGGGATAGGCAGGAGCTAGGTGACTCTCAGCCAGTCTGCACTACTTTTCGGAAGACTTGTCACTACTCCTATCTCAACTCAGTTTCTCCACTTGGAAATGGAAGTGGGGAGGAGGCTGGTCTGGTGGTTAGGTACCAGGGTGGTGCAAATGGTTAGTGTGCTTGGCTACTAAATGAAAGGTTGGTGGTTTGAATCCACCCAGAGTCACCTTGGAAGAAAGGCCTGGGAATCTACTTCCATCAAGATTATTGTTGTTACTTGTCCTTAAGCTGATTCCAACTCATGGTGACCCTATGTGTGTCAGAGCAGAACTATGTATGCTCCATAGGGTTTTCTAGGCTGTGAACTTTCAGAAGCAAATTACCAGACCTGTGTTTCGAGGTACCTCTGTGTGGACCCTAACCAGCAATCTTTCATTGAATAGTCAACCACCTAGCCATTTGCATCACCCAGGGACTATTTTCCATACGATTATAGCCTTTGAAAACCTTATAGCACACACTTCTATTCTGCCATACAGGAAGTCACCATGAGTCAGAGTTGACTTGATAGCAACTTTTTTTTTTTTTTTTTGTGGTAGAAAGATGGGATCAATACATGATTCCCTTGGGAGCCTCGAGATCCTCAGGGGCCAGACCCTCACTCACAGAGGGCAGGACTGGGGTTTCCCCACTCTACCTCTATCAGTGAGGGATTTGGTGGGCATCTCTTCACAGCAACTGGGCCTCCAACAACGTATCCAGTGGTGGACTCTCCCCGGCCTGTGTGATGATGCTCCCCCACGGATGCTGGAAGGACTTCTCTTGCAACTTTGAGTCTACTTTCATCTGCGAGAAGCGGCAGAGCTGCTGACCCAGGCCCCTACCCCCTACCCCCCAGAATATATGTAGAACCTTTACTGTGCACCTTCACCCCCCATATCTGTCCTCTCTGAGTCCCTAGATGGAACAATAAAGGATGTTTCTCCAAAGCCCTGGGTCCTTTCCTTGGCACAAGACCTGCTTACCCTTTATCTCCTCTCCTAATTTGCACTAAGCTGAAAAAATGTTCCCGAAACAGCCTTAGGTCCACCCCTGCAGGCTTGGGGAGGCCAATGAAATGTAATGGGGCATGGCATGCATCCCTTAAGAGCTTTGTGTTGTTCTACCACCTTTGTTTCGCCACAAAACTGGCTCATCCCAGAGAGGAGTTGCTCCTTTAACCCTGGAGTGGAAAAAACCCTAGAATAGAACTTCTGATGCCCCATGATGGTCATTAACATGATCAAGAAATGAACATTTTTGGTTGTCAGTAACTGAGACTTTGAGATCATTACTTGTTACTGCTGAGTCCCTGGGTGGTCCAAATGGTGAATGCACTAGGCTCCTAACAGAAAGGTTGGTGGGTCAAGTCTACCCAGACGTGCCTTGGAAGAAAGACCTGGTGAGCACTCCATGGTAACTGGTTTCATTTTGGTTCTTAAAACAAGTGGTGTGGGCATGGCTGTGGAACAACAAAGACAGTTCTCCTTTTTGGGTGGAAGCATAAGTCAGTATTTTACAGAAAATCTTGATGTTACCTAACCACTGACCCACTGCCATTGAATGAATTCTGACTCCTAGTGACCCTAAAGGACAGAGTAGAAGTGCCCCATAAGGTTTACAAGACTGTAAACCTTTATGGAAGTAGGCTGCCTCATCTTTCTCCCATTGAGCAGCTGGTGGGTTAGAATGACAGATTTTTTATTAGCAGCTGAATGAATGCTTTAATCCTTATGTCGCCAGAGCTCCTTTGGTATTACCTAGGACATTTAAGTATGCATAAATCTCAATATTCAGCAATTTCAGAAGGAAAAAAAAAGAGAGATTAAAGGGGGAAAAAGAAAGAAAGAAAGAAAAGAACCAAGCATTCAAGAACTACAGGACAATATCCAGTGGTCTAACAGACATAGAATTGGAGTCCCAGAAGGAAAATAGAGAGACAACAGAGCATAAGAAGGATTTGAACAGACAAAGGCTGAAAATTTTCTAAAAATTATGAAATATAATCAAACTGCAGGCCTAATGAGTTCAGAGAACTCTGAGCAGGATAAATTCCAAAGGCATTCGCACACACACATATGTCCCTATAACACCTGCTGATAACTAAGAATAGAGAAAAACCATTAGAGCAGCTGTTAATTCCGAGACACATTCAATGATGTAATATATGTGTGTTCCCTAATGTAGTTTGATAACTAGAGACACTCCATAATCATTAGCTCACTCCCTCTTAACCCTGAAACACACTCTCCATTTAAAAATTTAAAGCACTAAGTACAAGTGTTGGGGAATGACTTTGGCCACATGCTCTGAGAGAGAAGAGTCATGAGAATGTCCCTAATAACCACAGCTTTATCTCCGAGAAACAGCAAGATCTTTATGGGCAATTGTGGTCAGAAAACCAGGAGGACAAATGCAGCAGGAACTTTGAAGCCCATTGTTGGGGCAGCTCCTCTCCCCACTATCTTGGCAAAAAGTTGGGGCAAAATGTCTTTTCCTGATACCTCTCCCTTGACATGAATTGATGATAAGTCATCTAGAGATCTTGGGTGCTGTGCTGAGCCAGGAAGGAAATGGGGGAGGATTTATACTGGGGTGATATTTCCTGTAGTAGGATGTGTGTGTCTTTAATAACTACCCCAAGGGTTGTGAGCAGCTCAGCCGAACGAGCTGCAGGCAGGGCTGGAGGCAGGCACAGGACCTCACACCAATGGAGGAAAGACCTCTTCCCATGCCCAGGGAACCTGGTGAGTCTAGAGGCTCAGGGCAGGGGAAGTTCCACACGCACTCATGTGTTGGGTCCGAGTGCACTTGGGCTCTGGTCACGTGGTGGGGGAGAACACTTAGGGCCTCCATCATTCCTAAGTCACCTCCTCAAAGCCCATCATCACGCAAAGTCTCACCACCCCAGTGATGAGTGGTTTAGCCTCCCTCCTCCACAGCCCTAGGAGACTTGACTTGTCCAGCCCCTTCCCAAGCTGTGCATACTAACCTTTGCTGTATTCCACACAGGACAGAGGGATCAAAAGCTGCCCCAGGTTGTGCCTTGGAAGTTTTTCTGCCTGGCAATGACCCTGATACTGCTTCTGTTGGTCATTATCTTCGGGGTGGCCCTGGCCAAGGGTGAGGTTGCCAGGCCAGTGGGGACGAGGGTCAGAAGGGACCAGGCACACAGCCTGCAGTCTTCAGAGGAGGGATCTGTGTGGGTCTGGGGTGAAGATGGAGCAGTAAGGGAAGGCTGGGCTATGTTCCTGATCAAATACTTTTAGAAGGATGCTATCATGCTCAGAAGGAAGGTTGGGCAATCCTACTTCCGTAGTGATACTGCCTCGGAAACCCAAGGAGGGGTCGCTATGAGTTGGGGCCGACTCGACGGCACATAACAACAACAACAACATCATGCTCAAAAGAGCTAGAGTAGCATAACCAGTTTGCAATCCTTTGCCTACTGAAAGGCTAGTGGTTTGAACCTACCCAGCCACACTATATATGAAAGACCTGGTAAACTGTTACTGTATAGGTTACAGCCAAGAAAACCCTATGGAGCAGTTCTACTCTGTAACCCATAGAGTTGCTATGAGTCAGAACTAACTTGATGGCAATGGGCTTTTTCATGTGGTCTGCTCAAACTAGCATGAGGATTTAGGGGTAAGAAGGAATCTATCACAGTCGAAAGATCTAGGGCATTATTATCTTCTTCCTCAGTCTTGGAGCTCACAACCCAGCTGCAGGATGAACTGAATCAACTGAACAAGGAATGTGAGTGCTGATTGAAATAGTGATCCCCTCCCTTACTATGGGCACTTCCTCTTCCAGGTCCTTGACCAGCCTTTCTCGTATGTCTATTAGTTGTACAGGGACTGGCAGATGCTAGACACCATCAGGACCTCATCCGGGGAGAAATGTTCCGGCTAATGGAGGCTGTGCAAGCAGGCAATGGTAGGAGACAATGGGACCAGGTGGCTGATGAGTAGTGAGGGTTGAGAAGGAGATGGAGTTCTCTCAGTACTGTGAACAGCAGCAGCTCTGCAGGGGCATTTTAGCTACCCCCACCCAGAGTTGATGTGAACATGAACTTGGAAGCTCCTGTACTGCCCTATGCTACCTGCTGACTATGCCCCCCTGAAGTGGGACATGTGGGAGTTCTCCACTGAAAAATGCCAGGGATGCAGCAGGTGGGTCAGCACATATCACTCACTGGGCTGGAAGCAGTTGCAGTGACTAGTGTAGCCCCACCTTAACAGAGATGACTTCTTTCCCCTCCTCCAGGGTCTACTTGCAAGGCCTGCCCCAATGAATGGAGCACATTTGAGGGGTCCTGCTATTACTTTTCCACTGATGAACTCAACTGGTATGATGCCAACGATGACTGTACCCACCAGGGGGCTCACCTAGTCATCATCAGCAGCCAAGCAGAACAGGTGGGCAGGGGGAAGTTGAGTTTGGTGGGTCTTCTCCAAGTCACTGCAAGAACTTGTCCCCCACAAAATACAGTGCAAAGCCTTTGGTCATCCTTCATATTACACACTAGCCATCTTGGCATACAGAGCAGCCTCCATTCATTCATGTCCAGCTCCTGAGCGATTATTCATGCCAGCCTCTCTGTGTGGCAGCCCTTCCCTCTGTTACCTGCATGGAGGACTACTCCATCTTTACAGCCTAGATCAAACACCCTCCCTTAATAGCTTTCCTTACTTCTCCTCCACCACAGACTCAAACTGGGTGGTGCTGCCAGCCCTTGGTTCCTTCATCCCACACAAATGGAGCTCCCAGGGAAAGGGCTGAACTGGATTAATCTTTTAGTCCATAGTGCCTGAAACTGGGCTGGACACAAAGCAAGACCCAGTATTTGTCAGTGGAATCATTTTGATGGCCAGAACCACTTCTAATGGAAGAACCCAAATTCCCCACCTGGCCATCTGACACCATTTAATACCACCCCTTGTGTTTTTCTTGGTAGTCAGATAGTTACTGTCATGTCGGCTCTGATCCATGGTGACCCCACGAGTACAGAGTAGAACTGCTCCATGCATTTATGAGGCTGTGACCTTTCAGAAGCAGATTGTCAGGACTGCTTGTCAAAGGGGCTCTTGGGAGCATCCTACCATTTATTGAGTGTTCCACACTTGGCAGTACACTGCATTCTTTTCTACTCACTGAACCCTCACAACCAACATGAAAGGCAGCTGCTATTTCTATCCTCATTATACAGATGAAGAGCCTGAGGTCATGTCCTTGATGACATATGCCATTGTAATGGTGGAAGTGAAGGTCTATCTGTAGCTGTCAAGCCCATGATCTCAACTGCTACATTGGACAGCACCCCCTGCCTCTGGGTCTTCATCCCTTTCATGGAGTCCCCTCACACCTAGTCACATTTCTGTCTTCATGGGTTTCTTGGCTAAACTTGCCTTATCCCTGTGCAGAATTTCCTGAATTCAGCTAAAGATGTATACTACTGGATTGGCCTCACCAGAAAGTATCCAATGGGTACCTACAAGTGGCAAGATGACTCAGCCCCCACCTACACGTGAGTCTTCCTATAGGTCACAGCACCCCTTCACTCAGTCAGTCCCCTCTTCCCTCGGGAAGCATCTTCAACAGATGGTTTCCCAATTTCCTCAAAGGTCCTCATTTCATTTATTCATACCAACCAATTTGCTTGTGGCAAAAACCAAACTGTCTGACATTTCCTGTTATTTTGTTAGTTGCAAAGGTGTGTGTGTGTGTGTGTGTGTGTGTTTGTAAACAATGGAGCAACCAACATAAACAGAAAGTATTGCAGAATTCTAAAACCTTCAATATGATCAAGAGAATTACACACCTTCAGGAGGGGAATGGACCTCTGTCATTTGTGAAACTTATTAAAAAGCAGAACTCATTTGGGTGTGTCACTTGATGGGTCTTAGATCTCACAGCACAAATTCAAAGAAGCCCTGTCTGGTGGATCTGGTCTTAACTCAATGACCCACACATTCTTGCCCCCAACTGTCTCCTCTGTCCACTGCAGTAATATAACAGACAGTGTTTCGTTGCTATTCATGAGCTACTTTTTTTCAGAAGTGGATGGCCCCATCCTTCTTCCCAGTCTGTCTTAGTCTGGAAGCTCCACTGAAACCTGTCCACCGTGGGTGACCCTGAAGTATCATTGGCATAGCCTCCAGCCTCATAACAACACATGTTACCATGGTATGACAAACTGATGAGTGGTGGAATAGCAATGAAATACTATCTGATGTATTACTGGAAAACTTTATGAATAGCCATGAAACACTGTCTGATATAGTGTTAGAAGAGGAGTCCCTCAGGTTGGAAGGCACTCAAAATATGACTGAGGAAGAGCTGCTTCCTCAGAATAGAGCAAACCCCAGTGATGTGGGTGGAGTAAAGCTTTCAGGACCTTCATTTGTTGATGGGGCATGATTCAAAATGCAAAGAAACAGCTGTAAACATCCATTAATAATTGGAATATGTCAAGTGTGAAGTATGAATCTAGGAAAACTGTAAGTTGTGACAAATGAAATGGAATGGATGAAAATCAATATCCTAAGCATTAGTGATCTGAAATGCACTGGTATTGGCCATTTTGAATCAGACATTCATATGGTCTACTAGGAATGACAAATTGAAGAGGAATGGCATCACATTCACCATTAAAAACAATGTTTCAGGATCTATCCTGAAACTGTCAGTGATAGGATAATATCCATACACCTACAAGGAAGACCAGTCAATACTACTATTATCCAGATTTACACACCAATCACTAAAGCCGAAGATGAAGACATTGAAGATTTTTACCAATGTCTGCAGTCTGAAATTGACCAAGCATGAAATAAAGATGTATTGATTATTACTGGTGATTGGAATGTGAAAGTTGGAAACAGAAGCATCATTGGTAGTTGGAAAATATGGCTTTGGTGATAGAAATGATGCTGGAGATCACA